ATCAGTGAAGATCTGAAATTAGTCTGTACAAATTCCATTTTCAGCAATCAACTGCAGTGTCTTTTAGACTTATAATTAGATCCTTTGAAATGGTAACACTTTAAATTTCTCTAATACTTCATTAAATTATAGGTCACTTTGATGGAGTACTACTTTTGAGTCATTATTTCAAAAGAATTACCTTTAGAAACCTAAAACACTGACAAATTTGTCCTAAATTCTATTTAACACATGGTGTAAGTATATATTTCTTCTTTATAAACCGTGCTAATGATTTTGTTTGTTAGGGGAAATAGCTTAGCAAAATGGAATCCTACTCAAATTAGGGAATTTGGGAACAGGACTAGTTAGGACTAGTACCAAAAATTGGAGAGTTGGCAAGTCATTTAACTTCTCAAGTCTTCAATTTCATCTTTTATATAATTTGGAAGATGTACAGCTATGCTTCCTGCTACTTCCTTTCTTTATATACTATTGATATCTATTAATTAGTAACCATTGTTGGTTTTAGCATTTAATGTCTCCTTCGTCTTTAGCTTAGCACTAGTTACAAAGGGCAACAGTCACATTTGCAAAATAAGCTCAATTGTATGTTCCATAAATATCTGTCTCATGAAAGCTGTGATGTGTATGTAATTTCTGGCATTACATAAAATGTGATTAATGGTTGAGGGGCACAGTGAGCACCTATCTGTCTAGAATGGGAAGTTGGGGAGGGAAAAGAGTTAGTTAATGATATATAGTTATCTGGGGACAAATCATGGAGGACCTTGAATGGTATTTAGGAATTTGAAGTTAATTTTACAGATATCAGGAAGTGAATGGGAGGTTGAGCGAAACGTGTTTTTCACAAAGCTAGCCTGGGGGCTGGGGATTTAGCTCAGCAGCACAGCACCTGCCTGGCAAGTGCGAGATCATGAGTTCGATTCCTGATACGGGAAGAAAAACAAACAAAAACAAAAACAAAAACAAAGCTAGCCTGACAAGAGTTAGGCGGAGTGAGATGCAATGGGGAGGAATGAAGCAGACATAACAGCTTGGATTATTTTGATATTTTCAAAGTGAGCGGTAATAAGGGTTTAATTTAACATGGTAGGAAAAGGAAAGTCTAGGATGGAAAAGGAAAATCTGGAGAGGGGTCAAGAGACACTGGGACAGAAAGCACAACAGGACATGGCACCTGGTAAGATATGATCAGTGAGACAGAGCGAAGGAAAAGAGGAGATGAGGACACGGGAAGGAGGGCAGTAACTGAAATAGAGATGTTTGGAAGTACTGAGCAGAAGATCTCCGGTATAGTCTGGGGCAGTTTTCATGGTGATGGTTAGAAACGTCTGGTAGTAACTGAAGCTGGCAAAGTCTTTGAAAGAGAAACAAAGCAAGGAAGATGAACAAAATGGTTGAGCTACTGACTAGATAATTAACTCTACCAGGTTTAGCAAAACAAACAAAATAAATATTTCAATGCGACCTTCTATTCAGTTAGATTCCCTCAAACAACGTTATCAGTGACTCCTTATGAACAGGTATGAACCACTCTCATTTTTCAAAAGTATTTATTGTGAAACTGAAATACCCAGAGTTTTGCCAAGTACTTCCTTAAATTTTTCCAAGTCTAGACCCATATGCCGATGATCCAGATAAACAATCCATCCTATGGTAATAAAACTGTTATCTGATCATAATCTGGAACAAAATTACTGAGGGAAAACTTTCATTTTGTTTCCTTTCTTCACGTGGCTACTGGTTTTTTGGTTTTTTCACACAGCTAGCCACTGTTCTCAGTCTCACCGGCTGATTCATCTCCATTTAGAGATGGGGTATTCTAAGATTTACTCAGTATTATCACTTCTCTATCCCAACTTGCTCCTTAAAGTAGCACAGTCCAGTAGAAAAATAATGCAAACTACAAAAGCAAGCTACATATATAAATTGAGATTTTCTAGTAATGATGTTGAAAATTAAAAAGAAGCTGGTGAAATGCACATAGATTTTATTTAACCTAATGTAGCACAAACATAGTCACTTCACTAATATGATTAATATATTTTATTTTGCTTTAATACTAAGTCTTTGAAATCTAACGTGTTGTGCTTCTAGCATTGCTCCTCCGACTGGCTACATTTCATTGTAGCCGAGAGTCACATGTGGCCTTTGGCTGTTGAACTAGAAAGTATAGCACTAGATCAACTCATCCTACCCCTTAACTGAAAATACCACCTATGTGCTGAATTCTGACCATTCTTGAAATTTTATTTCTAGCTGAGACCTCTTTTCTGAACTCTAAACATAGATATATAAGGATAGCATCACTTCTTGATGGCCACTTTGTATGTCTAAGTTACCACATCCAAAAGTGAACTCTTGGTCTCCTTCAACTTTGCTTCTATCCAGTTCCTTTCCTGGTAACTTCATCATGTCAGCTGCCCATCTGAAGTCCATCTTGACTCTTGGTTTTGTCCCTAACCTCACACTTAATCTACAACTCTTACGGCACTGTTAGCTCTATGTTCACAATATATTCGGAACCTGATGTCTTATCATTGCTTCCACTACCACTAAAGTGCGGGACAAATTCCCATTAGCTCTGGTGTGGATCATTGCAGTAACATCCAAACAGATCCCCTGCAATCCTCCCTCCTCACAGCAACAAGATGTCCTGGTTTAACCAAACCAGATCATTTCACTCATCTGCTAAGAATTCTCCAGTGGCTCCTGATCTCAGAGTAAAAGCCAAAGTCCTTACTGTGACCTTCAGAACTCCAAATGACTTCATCTCCTACTGTCCTCCTTGGTCACTTCACTGTAACCATCCTTCCCTCCTAAACACATAAGTCATTCTCTAGCTTGAGTTCCTTTGGATTCGCTAACTACTCTCACTCACCTCCATGGCTCACTCCCTCATCTTTTTCAGGTCCTTGCTAGGAATGACTTGGGTGGGTGAAGGACATGGTATGAACGTATGAATGGTATGACATGACATGACCTGGTGTGCATAGGTGCCAGAAGGAAGACCCAGAGCACTGATGCCACATGCCTGTGCTTCTAATAGAGAGAGCTACACACAACTCTCAACATTTATTGGGCAGCCAAGTGTGGTGGTGCACGACTATAACCCTAGCACTTGGGAGGCTGAGGCAGGAGGATCCTTGCGAGTTCGAGATCAGCCTGGGCTACAAAGTGAGCTCAAGGCCAGCCTGAACTGCATAGGGAGATACTGTCTCAAAAGGAAAAAAAAAAAAAAAAAAAAATCAACATTTATTGGGCAACCATTACAAGTAAAACAGACAACATGTGTATGATTGGTTGCTAATAGTGAAGGGAAGCTGAAATAACTTTGTTGCTTTAGCAGGAGCTCTTGAACATTTTCAGCACATACTGGAATAAATAACTGAACCCCTTAGTCACTGAGAAAGAAGTATCTTTTAACAAACAGGTACAGTACTCCTAGGCAGTTACAATCTACAAACATAAGCCTTTCAACGAAGGCAGAATTTAAATCACGGCACTAGCAGAACACTAGATTCTTGTTCTAGCTGTACTCAACTTGATGGTTGACTGAGTAAATTACTTACCCTTTTATTGTCTCAAATCTTTTATGCCTGTGATAAAATGTCTGATCTCATCCAGTTCCCAGTTCAGGTTGAGATAACAGGGCTGTATTTACCCAGGGGTTACAGGTTGGCACAACTATGTGTGCAATGTGGAATTTCCGGAGGAAATAATCCGTCTTGAAGCTGAGAATTTCTAGATTAGGGCCATTGCCTTTGGTTTGGGTTAACATAAGGTCCTTAGTCCCTCCCTTCTTTCTTTTTAACAACTACTGCTTCTGAGCTTGAACTCAGCTTATTTTAGTTCTCACTGTCCAGTTTTGCAGTCCCTCCTTGCTGAAAACAAAGGAGAAACGATCAACCTGAGACATTACAGTGCTCAGTTCACCCCAGGGATGGATGTGAGGGTTGCTGAGTAGGGCTGGAAAAAAACGAAGGCGAGAAGGCGCAGATGAAGGGAGAAAAAAATGCTGTGCTCAATGTATAAACACATCTCGATTTAATCCAACAAGTGCTCATTGGGTGGAATGCAATATGCTAGTCACTATGGAATGTCAGGTTGGGGCAGGACTCGGATAAATCTCTGGCATCGAGAAGCTGATAGCCCTGGAATATTATTAAAATATCGTGCAGACTACCTAAACCACAAGGAGAAAGAAAACTGACATTACTTCAGATGCTTTAGTGTTCCAAAGGCATCCATGCATGTTAACAACCCTTCCAAAAATTCCAGATAAGGTCGGAGAGAATAGGTAATTTACTGCTCAAGGTCACTAAGGCTGGGAAGTGAAGGTGTCCTGGCTTTGTCCGGAGCACAGATTCCCAAGTCAAATTTAGGCTCTTTTCAGAACACCATTGCCGAAGGCAGCTATTTGGAGCAGGTAACGTGCCAGGCAAGATGCAAGGAAACAAAGAAATCAGAAGAGCCGTTTGGAAGCGGTGCGGGACGTGGGCCTTAAAGGGTGAATCCGAAATTGGGCGGGAACCAGCGTGGCACGGAGGAGGGGCTTTTGGACTAAGGAAGTAGGGATCTCTGCAAAAGCCTCGAGTCCGGGAGTTGAAATACTACGGTCGGGTGGGCGCCTCCAGCCCCCTTGTCTTTTCCACTGGGGCTCTGCAAAAAGCGTTGGCCAGTTTCACCGTCAGACCTCTGTGATTTCTGTAGATCCAAAGGCAGTGCTCCAGACTGACCCCCTTGGACCGGGGCGCCCGTCCGCTAGGAGCCCGGCACGGCAGCCGCCGCCAGCACCCCGGGCGCAGCGCC